ATGAACTGAGCCTATTTAGCCTGGAAAAGAGAAGCCCTAGGGGCAGCTAGGTGGCCCTAGAGTAAGCAGGACCTGAGTTCAAATCTAACCTCAAAATGCTTACTAGCTGTGTGACCTTGGGAAAGTCGTTTAACCCCAATTGCCTCGAAGGAAAAAGTAAAGAAAGAAAAGAGAAGATTTAAGGCAGGGACTTTATAAGTGCCTTCAATTGCTGAAGATGAAAGAAGTGGTCCATATACGGGAGCAGTGTGGGGAGGAGACATTTAATTTAGTCTCTGTGTCTGGAAAAATTTTTCGAGCAAAGAGAGAGGAGAGAGTTGCTCTGGGAGTCTGGGGGTGGGGAGGTGGGTGGGTTTCAAGTAGAGTTGGGATAATCATTTGTAGCCTATATTTTTGAGAGGATTTTTAGTTAGATGTGGTGGGTTGGATCAGATGACCTTGGAGATCCCTTCTACTGCTGAAATTTGATGACTTTGCTTAAGCAGAATTGATGAGAATGCTGGTCAGCGAGTTACAAATTTATTAAGCCCCCACTATGTGCCAGGCACTGGGGGGAACCCTGTGAATCACTGAATATGTTGGTAGAGTAAGGGAATTCTTAGAGAGAAGTTACCACTCTGCCTTAGAACAGGTGATAGATGGCTCCTGGGGTCTTTTTCAGCAGAGATTCTTGGGTTATTAACATGTTAACTTTTTTTTTTTTGTGAGGCAATCGGGGGTTAAGTGACTTGCCCAGGGTCACACAGCTAGAATATGTCAGCTCTTCAAAGATAGCATTCAGAGCCCTGGGGCCATCCATTTAGGATGTCAAGTTCCCCTCTCCCAGGGTTTCATTTGCATTAATGCCAAGCAATAGTAACTACCAGTCTCCTTATTTATGGAGCCAGCAAGAGCAAGTGACATTTATCTTAGCACATGGGCTTCCAGATTCACAGCTGGACAGTGCCCTGGCTGTCCTAATGTTTCTCAGCCTGCTGCCTGACAGCCTGGGCAGCCCCAGGGATGTTTGCTTTCTCAGCTGTCTCTGAATGCCTCAGTAACTCCTACTAAATTGTCCCCTTGCAATGGAGAAGAACCCCTGAGGGACCTGTCCAAATGTGCTCCCCTGGTCTCCTGGCTTTCTTCCTTCACCTCTATCAGTTCTCATTATGATGACTGTGAAAGGACTGATGTTTGATTCTTTCTCACTTGTCTTCAGGCTTTTTTTTTTTTCAAGCCTAGCCCACAGAGCTAGAAGGAGGGGATGGGGGTGGGGAGTGGGCTCTGATCTAACTCACACCTGAACAGCCTCACCCTACTCTCTCTATAGCAACCATTTCCTTGCCCCAGTATAGTCATCCAGTTTCCACTGGTTCCTCATTCCTACTTTTTTTCATTATGTCCCTTGAACATCTTAGACCTTTTGTTCTTCTAAATGAATTTTGTTATTTGGTCTAGTTCCATAATTGATATGGGACTGAATCTGTGCATTCAATTTAGGCAGTATCATCATTTGTATTCTATTGGCAAGGTCCAGTCACAAGCACTGACTACTCCACAAGTTATTTAAAATTTTCTTCATTTAAAAAAAATTAAATTGATTTTATTAATTTTTTTGTTTTCGCATAGCTTATATTTCACACTTTATCCCTTTCTCAGTGCCATTTCATATTAAAAAAAAAACAATTTGAAAAGCCAGATGTTATATGGAGTATCCCACATCTGTAGACCCCAATTTCTGCAAAGGAGTCTGGGGGATGATGTCTTCTTATATCTCTGGAGCCAAACTTGGCCTTTATAATTTTGCAACATGTAGTTTCGGTTGTTTTGTTGTGGTTGTTCTTTCCATTTGCAGAGGCTTCTGGCTTTCCTCGGAGACTAACTCCAATTTATTGTGTGTGTATGAGTATGCTGTTGTATCTAGAAATATTTATACTTATGATAGGTATATGTATGTCTGTATGTACATAGTTATTTGTACACTAGCGATGTTGTTTTTCCCATTAGAATGTGAGCAAAGGTTTTTGCCTTTTCTTGTGTCCTCAGCACTATAGCACAATGCTTAGCACATAGTCAGCACTTAATAAATGCTTGTTGACTTGATTCTGTTTACCTCTAAATTTCTTTTAAGAATTTTTTTGTAGCTGTATACAGGCCTCCATTATATGTTGGTAACTGATTTCTAGATATGCATTTTGTAGTTATTTTGAATGAAATTTCTATTATTTTCTCCTGGGTTTTGTTATTGCTATGTAGAAATGCTATTTGTTTTTGCTTGTGTTTATTTTATAAACTACGGCTTTGCTAAATCACTGCTAAATTGCTTTACTAAGTTAATAACTGCTTTGCTAAATATTTTGTCTTTCTTAGTTTATTTGCTAATTTTCTATTAATTAATCAAGCCGTCATGTCAGCAGCCAATAAAGATTGTTTTATCTCCTCTTTGCTTATATTTATGCCTTTAATTTCTTGTCTTCTTATAACTAACATTTCTAAAACTACATCCAATAATAACAGGAAGTGGAGTCATCCTTGTTTTATTCCTGTATTTACTGGGAAAGCTTCTAGTGTTTCCCCATTATGTATAATAGTATGTTTTGGTTTTTGCCATGTTCAAAAAAGGTTCTTTTCATGCCTATTCTCTTTTAGGTATTTAGCATGTGTAGGTCTTGTACTTTGTCAAGAGAGGTTTTCTTTGTCCCTTGATATAATCATGTGGTTTTGGATGGTTTTATTTGTGATAGGAATAATTATATTGTTTTCCTAATGTTGAAACTATCTTTGCATCTCCAACTTGATTTTGCTGAATCATTTTTTGGCTATATTGTGCAAATTTGTTGCCAGTAATTTATTTAAAGTTTTTGAATCCATATTCCTTAATTATATTTATTGGACTATGGTACTCTTTCTTTGCTTTGCCCTTCCCTAATTTATAAAGTAGGACTATATTTAATTTAATTTTATTTTATTTTTTGGCTAGGCAATGGGGTTAAGTGACTTGCCTAAGATGACACAGCTGGTGAGTGTCAAGTATCTGAGACCAGATTTGAACTCAGGTCCTCCTGACTCCAGGGCTGGTGTTCTATCCACTGTGGCTCCTAGCTGCCCCCAGGACTATATCTTATAAGAAGAATTTGATAGGGTGTTTTCTTTCTAAAGATTTGAAAATAATTTGTACAGTGTAGATATTAGTCTTTAAAAGTTTGATGGAATTCACCTAGAAATCATCTGGACCAGGGGTTATATGTTAGTTTCTTTACAGTTAGTCCAGTTTCTTAATCTGCAATTTGTATATGATCTCTATTTCATGTTGTATTAATGCAGATATTTTGCCCTGTATGCTCTATTTCCTTTAAGTTTGTTTTCTGCTATATATTTGTGAGTAGTAGGCTCCACCATTTCTCATTTCTTACCTTCTGTGATTTTACCTTATCTGTTTTCTAGTTCGGTGATTTGATTTTTTTATCCTCTTTTTATTTTATTTTACTTTTTGCTAGGCTATTGGTAAAGTGACTTGCCCAGGGTCACACAGAATCTTCTTTTTAAATTAAGTAAGTGTTATTAAATCTTTTTCAACTTTTCCAAGGAGCTTCTAGGTTTGCTGTTCAGGTTTCCAATGGTTTGTGTTTCTATCTTCACAAATTCCTTTTTAAGAATAAATGAATGAAAAAGTGTCTCTGAAGTCCCTACCTTCCAGAAGCTTATATTCTAAAGAGGGGGAGACAAGCCACAAAGGGGAGTAGTGACCAAGGAGGGGCACTTTGGTCCAGAAATTTACCAGGATGGCGAGTGGGGTCATGGAGGAAGACATTAATACAGAGTTGATTTGTTCATGGTTCGAGTTTCCAGAATGGAAGGTAGAGTGGGGAGTAAAGAGCATCTTCATGGGGACAGAGTGGCTGCCAAGGCTATGGAGGAGCTGTCTGAGAGTTGGGGGTGAAGAACTTCCCAACCTTTCTTGGCTAGCTTTCCCCCTGGAGAGTGTTAATCCTTTGGATCATAACTATACTTTCTGTGAATTTTTTGAAATCTCTGTTCTCCGAATTTAGGCTGCATGCTAGACAATGCCTGGCTTTCCTTTCCTTCTCTATCACAAATTCCAATATGGATTAGTCGCTTCTTAAGGTTTTTATCACTTAACCACTCTCTGCCTCAGTTTCCTCAACTGTAAAATGAGGATAATAACAGCACCCAAGTCACAAGGTTATCATGAAGATCCAATGAAATAAAATTTGTAAAGCGCTTAGCACAGTGCCTGGCACATAGCAGGTGCTTAATAAATATTTGTTCCTTTCCTTTAAAAGAAGGATTAGAATTTAAGATTATCTGGAAGAACAGAACAAGAAAAGAACTCAGTACATTTGCACATACTAGAAATAGTAGGATGAAAATTTTTATTTCAAAGTAAAATTACAATATTTGCCTATAATTATTTGCATTTAAAGTTCACACATAGGAAAAGAGAGTAAATTATAAACAAATTTAAAAATTCTTGTGTTAATTGACATCCTTCCAATAGTTTAAGCAATCAGTTACAGACTCGGAGAATCTTAGAGGTAGGAGGTACCTCAGGGGCCGAGGCCAACCTGTACCTGACCAAAAATTCCCTCTACAACATACCCCCAAATTAGTCATTTAGCCTCTGCTGAAAGACTTCCTATGAGGGAGAAGCCTGTGCCATCTGTTTTTTTTAATCACTTTTTTCAAACAAACGAAAATTGATTATCTTCTTCCTCCTACTTCTGCCCTAGAGGAGGAATCACAGATTCAGAGTGTAAGGGACCTCAGAGGTCATCGGGACCCTTCTACAGAGGAGGTACGCGAGGCTTAGGAGATAAAGTGATTCACTGAAAGTCACCCATGTTTAAGAGTCAGAGGTGGTGTTTGAACCTATCTCCTCTGACTCCACGGCCAGGGGTCTTTCCACTGTATGACAAAAGGATGTTTCTCTGGATGGTATCAGAAGAGGCTGTATGCATTTCTGGGTAACTGAGGTGGTTGTGTGTGTGTGTCTCTTACAGATGGCTTCAGTGACAGAAGGAGGCAAAGCTGGGGGCAAAGATGCTTCGGACCAAAACTTTGACTACATGTTCAAACTGCTCATCATTGGCAATAGTAGCGTCGGGAAGACTTCTTTCCTCTTCCGATACGCCGATGACACGTTCACCCCGGCTTTTGTCAGCACAGTGGGCATTGACTTCAAGGTGAAGACTGTTTACCGCAATGAGAAGAGAGTGAAACTACAGATCTGGGTGAGTTTTGAATGGCTGGGATTGGAACTGGAATGCTCCCCAAGGGCAGGTTGGTCTCTTGGGTCTGGGCAAGAGCATGAGAACAGATTATTGGGATGTCAACCATGAGGGAATGTGTAGGGCTGGATCTAGCCTTTGGGGTCTTTATGTCAAAGCTGTGATGATCTCTCCACAGCACCTGAGGTACTCCCTTCACATATGCAGCCCCAGGAAAGCAATTCTGGATTTGAAACACTCTGTGGATCAATGCTCACTCCAAATCATAGCTCATGAGCCCCTACTGATATTCTTACTTTATTATTATTAATTATTAGTCATCCAGAAGATAAATTAGTTCAGAACAAAAGACATTTAATCCAAGAGCATAACAAAATAAAATGAAAAAAAAAAGATTTCCCCATTATGTGGATACGGGGTACACTTTCTCCACTGGTAACATATTAATAGTAGGGAATGGAACACATGTAGAGAACATAAATGACCAGGGAATATGCATAGAGACCGTATATGTAAGGAACACATGCCTAAGGAATAAATATATGAAGGAGTACATGCATGGAGGATGTATCCAGAAATCAAGTGGCCAGGACACACGTATAGAGGACACATATGTTGGGACGTATGGTGAGGATGAACATGTGGTTCAGGTTATTTATCCCTCTAATATTGCTCTAACCTTCTCTGGCAGTGTTATTGCTCTGTTCTATTCTGGGTATCGTGTCTCTACCATATTGTCTGCTCCTTTACTTACCCTCAAGGTCTGTCAAGCTGTTCTGATACTATATGCTGCTCTTTGTTCCTGAAGTACAGTAGCTAGAAAGACCTTCCCTGACACTTTGTGCCCTTTTATTGCATAGCCAAGGTTGTGACTTATTATACCCAGTTAAGCAACAGCCAGCAAGTGAATAGAATGTCTCAGTCTACGATTAAGTCTATTCTTTTGACTATGCTTGTCTGATGCCAATTTCAGGTTCAGAGTCCTGACAATTATCTGACTTAAGGTTAGAGAATTCCCTATAATTTTCATTAAATTACTGCCTATGAGCCTCTGTCCCCAAAACTCATTTCAGGAACTCTGACTTCCTAGAACATGTAGGACCTATGTACATGCTAGGCTGCCAAGGTGAACCTCATTCTCCAAGTCCTCTTTGAATGGCATGTGGATGAAACTAGGGGCCAGAGCAAATGAAACTAATCTTAGAAATTAGAACAGCAGTAGCAAGGCCATCATCATCCACCCCTCCAGAGTGCCTTTATTATACCTTTCTTCTGGCAAGAAAGCCTTACTGGTCTTTCTATATTTGTATCCCCAGCGCCCAACACAGTGCCCTACACATAGTAGGCACTTAATGTTAATTAGGTTGCTTTTTTTGGGTCCCTTTCCCTTACGCACACCACCAACTGCTAATGTCTTCCCTCTGAGATGACCTTCCATATACATTGTCTATATCTTGTATGTACCCAGTTATATATATGTTGTCTTGCCCATTAGAATGTGAGTTCCTTCAGGGCAGGGACTGTTTTGACATATCTTTGTATCTCAAGCATTTACTCCAGTGCCTAGCACACAGCAGGTGCTTAATAAATGCATTTCAACTGATCAAATTGAGAAGACTTTAGGAAGATGTGATGACTGTCTTCAAGTATCAGGAAGGTTGTCATGGAAGAATCATTGGACTTGACAGACCTTGAGGGTAGAATAAGGAGGAGTGGATGGAAGATTTGATGTAAGTTACAACTTGCTAACTGTGGGAGCTGTCCCCAAGGTACTGCCTTCAGAGACTGCTTTCAGAGGCCATGAGCTCCCCCTCCTTGGAGGTCTTCAAGCAAAGGTTGGGGAGGTTGTAAACACAATGATTCCTTGGATACCAATTAGACTAGATGGGGTGTAAGGTCTCTATTAATGCTGAGATTCTATGTGTCCGTGATTGTGTGACTCAGCTCTTGAGGACCAAAGCTGTGTCTTCCCCTGCTTCTCCTCTCCTCCAACATCTGCCCAAGACCATAGCAGGTACCCAACGAGGACCTATTACTTCATGTCTATTGATCAGAAAGGGCTTTATTAATCCCAGATAGGCTGGTGATCACAGCCACCTGGGAGGTGACAGTCTCAGACCCAGTCTCCGCTGTTTCCTTCTCTTTCCCAGTTGTCAACCTTATTAAGCTGCTGCAGTGCCTAAGGCCCTATGTGAATAAGATATGTCCCTGTCCTCAAGGAACTCACAGTCCTAATAGGAGGAAGAGGAGGTAGTGTAGCACACTAGACAGAGCCCTAGATTTGGAGTCAGAAGACTTGGATTAAAATCTTTCACTTAACTGCCTATATGACCTTAGGCAAATCACAGTCTCTTTGAGTGGGTCTCATTTTCCTCATCTGTAAGGAGGTTAGACTAGATTCCTTCTAAGGTTCCTTATAATTCTAAATCGGTGGTCCTGTGATAAGTCAGTGCACTCTACTCTTCCTCAGTTTCTTCATCTATAAAATGAGGGCTAGATGAAAGTCCCTTCCAACTTTGGATCTTGTAATCATAAAACAGACATGACAAGTTCCAGACAAAGTGCTCAGAATATTCATATTAACCCAGAAACCATGTCAGCCCCTTGGTAGCTTAGCAAGTCAGGAAGACCTCAGTCCCAGTCCCGTGTCAGACACTTACTAGTTGTGTGATCCTGGGAAAGTGACTTAAGCTTTCTGGTCCTCAGTTTCCTCATTTCTAAAATTAAAGAGGTTGGGCTCTATGACCTCTGAGGTCCCTTCGGGCTCTAAATCTAGGCTCTATACTGAGTCTGAAGATAGAATGTAAAGTTCTTGAGGCCAGGGGACCATCTTACTTTTGTCTTTGTATTCACAGTATCTAGTACCTAGTAGGAGATTAATAAATGCACGATGATGATGATGGATATGAATATGATGAGGAGGAGGAGGAGGAGGCAGAGGGGGGAAGATCAGGAAGCCTTCCTGGAGCCTTTGAGCCCCCATATCCCTGCTACTTGATGATTTATAAAGAGTCCCTACACCCCCAACCACCCTGTGAGGGAAGAAGTGTGTTGTTGACTGTGTTTGACAGTAGAGGAAAGGGACTCTCTCAGTAGACAGAGAGGTTAAGTAACTTGCCCAAGGTCATACAACTAGTAAAGGTTAGGGCTGGCTGGGTTTCAACAGGTTAGACTGGGTGTGTATGGGGGGGATTAGGAGGATGGCTCTGGCTTTGCATGATTCCAAGACTTTTCACTTGTTGTTTCATGGGATGCTAGATTTGGAGTAGGGAATGACCTTAGAGGCTATCAAATCCATCCTCCTAATTATACAGAGGAAGAAACTGAGGCACAGAGAGTCTAGGTGACTTGCCCCAATTCATATAAGTAATAAGTGGCAAAGCTGGTACTTGAACCCAGGCAGGTTGCCTGTGCTTTCAACTGTACCCCCCCCCCACACACTCTATGTGTGTTTGCAGCTATCCAGCATCTCCCTCCATACCAAGCTTCCTGCTCACGCACAGCTAGATAGGGCCTTTTAAGAGCGCCAATTCTGCCCTCACCTCTTGATTTCCCTAGAGCTGGGTCAGTACTTGTCAATCCTGTTCTCACTTCTCAAGAACAGGAGAGTGACCCCCAGGGAGTGCCAGGAGCCTTCTCCCACTAGCCCTTACACAGATCTCAGAGTAGGATGCAAACAAATATGGCTTGGCTCCCCCAGGAAGCATCACAGCTGCTCCCCACACATGCAACCTACAGGCCCCCTGCAGGCTTGTACCACCCCCCTGCCTGCTCCAGCGGGGCTTGGCTGCCACTTCCAGTGAATTGTTCAATTATCACTCAGCCAGATGGCTTCATGTGTCTCCACCTAAAGGGTGAAGTTTCTGGAAGACAAAAGGAAAAGGAGAAAAAGGACTTAGTGATATATAGTGGGAAGAACCTGGGATCTGGAGTTGCACCACCTACATTCAAATTCTCAGATTCTGGCTAAGTTACTTCTTAGATCTGGAACTCTGAAAAAAGTCAGTTCTCCTCCGTTTTGTCATCTGTCAAATGGGAGGGAAAATATATAATGTAGTTCGCAGTATTGTCATGAGGCTCGAATGAGGTCATGACTGTGAACTGCTCTGTAAATTATAAGATGTCATAAATGGCGGCTTTGGCTATTTCTATCTGTCTGTCTATCCTCCTCTGTTTGGGGCAAGACCTGGGCTTTCATTCCTTTGAGGAATTTCAGGAATGGAAACTCCCTCCACCAAGGCAGATTGTCAATTTTTTTCTGTAACTTGTCATCTTCATACCTGAGGCCCAGAAAAAAATGAGGGACCCAGAGTGACACTGCCAGTGTGTATAGGAGATAGGACCAGAGCCCAGGTCTTCCCTGAGTCCCTGGCTGGCTCTCTAACCATTCTACCACATTGCCATTCATTATCATTGCCATCATCATTAATCCATCCATCAGTCAGCAACAGCTGCCATTATGAGTGAGGCTTACCTAGGGAAACTTCAAATAGAAGTTCTCATCCATGGTTGAAGGATGTGACCATTGAAAGAAGTTGCCCAGATGGAGGTCTCCCATCCAGAGTGAGAGGTCTGATCATCCCCAGTGGCCTCTGCTTCCCAATCACATTTAGAATACAGAGTTCTGTTGTGGCTGTAGGGAAGCCATTGTTAAGCTGGACAGCGCCTAGAAGTTGGCAGCCCTTAAGGAGAGGGAACTAGAGGTTGGACCTTGAGAGAAGACTCTGGGAAAGGGAGAAGGGGAACAGGGAGCATGAGATCTGTCTTTAAGTACCAGAAGGGCTGTCTTTTGGAAGAGTGTTAGATTTCTTCTGCTTGGCTGTAGAGGACAGAATGAATAGTGAGGGGCTGGGGAGGGAATTTGTGGAGAGGTTGATTTTGGCTTAATGTTGGGAAAACAATGAGATGAATCTGAAGTAGAGTAGGCTCCCTTGGAGAGAATGGGTTTTCCACCATCAAAGATCTTTAAGCAATGGGCAGGTGAGCCTCCCTTAGTTATCATT